TTCGCTCGTGAAAGAGCCTTAGACAGGAAGAAGAAATAACTTAAAATTTAATTACATAACTTACAAAAAATCTGAAACCATTTCTTTATTAACAATAGCAATAAAAAATATATATATTAAAAAACAAAGTAAATTACAAATAAATAAGTAAAAATAAAGAATCGCAATACAGATTCCCGTACAAATAAATTTTCGGGACGAAGCGGTATTCCCGGATAGATGTTTAACCGTTACAAAGTGGCAATCCTGCAAGGCAGGCATCGGTGAGCCTCTTCGACAGAATTGTCAGTAAAACAAAGGTCGCTCAGCAGTCACAATCCTGCGTGCCGCGGAGCACTCGATTGTCAGGAGTCTACGACACCACGACTATCATGCGCGCACTTGAATTGATTCTTGAGGAGCAGAAAGATAAAAACAAGAGTTCACACTGTATCCGTTGCCCCAGCTACCACACCTTTTCTTCCAATGGGCTCGGGCATCGGGAGTGGTGGAGCAAACGCCAATGATTGTGCTATAAAGGCCGGGGATGATCTGGCTCACCAAATCACTGACCAACAAAACCAAAACGAAGATTCCTGCAGCAATATGCGGCGCACACCGAATTTACACCAAAGTCCTCTGTGCTGTTACCAACGATGACTTTCCAAGCCAAAACTTGAGGTACAACTCCTCTCTGCTCCCAACGATGATACCCCGAGCCGAATCTTCACGAACAATAAATCCCGTTCCTCATCCTTCGCTCTCTTATATATTTTCTCTTCCCCTCTCATTCTTCATCACCATGGCTTGCCGAAAGCTATGCAGCTATTCCTCCCTAAGGCGCTAATCCGCCACCTCAAATTATACAAATCGAACAGTAGTGATACGCTAACGCAATTATTTCGATGCCCGATTTAACGATATCGCGTGCCAACAACGAGAGGCCAGGGACGACGGGAAAATCGCTACTAAGCGGTTTTCCCCGTCACAAAACTTTAACTTGTATTAATAGTAGATTACTCATCTAGAGAAGAAAAATATTGACACTTCACTTTTCTGTATTTTAGTTTTTCACCTCATTATGAAAAGCAAGCAGTGACGTAATTAAAATTTTTATTTTTCTTGCTTTGTTTATTTCGACCAGATGATTTTCAACACTAGAAAAGAATTATAAAATGTTAGAAAAAAAACTTTTTCGATTACTTGAGTTATAAATTTCAAAGAAAGTAATGTTTTTTCTATGATTATAGATGCCTAATTAGATCCGTTCTATTGAATTTTGAGAATCACAGAACACTGATATTGTTTATTTGTGTTATAGAAAATTATAGATCTGATGAGCGAAAAACACTCAAGTTATTCTCAAAGAGCCCTGCCGGGTAAGCATGTCAAAAATGCCCTTGAGGATATCGGATTCCGGACTGGAGGGACTTTTTTGTCATCAAAAGATATGACTTCTCTCAAATTTTCAGACCCCTAGGTGCATGTGGGGCAAGATGGGACGGGGTAATATGGTTTTTGGTTTTCGAACCATATCTTGGTCAATTTTTGAGCTACGTAAAAATTTTTTTTTGGAATATGTGTCGTTTTTTAAGCCCTACAAGACTGTCTAGTTAAAAAAATTTTTGGCGCGAAATTCAAATTTTGGCGGCCATTTTAAAATTTGAATTTGCCGCCATTTTGTCTGTTTTATAGGTGCATAGCTAAAAAAAATCTTACAATACTTCTTATGAACGAGAAAGTATGTGTGAATTTTTTCAGATTTTTAAAATTGGTGGAAGAAGGTCAAAAAAATTAAAAACCACATTTTCGATGATTTTTCGTACGTACGTGGCCCCTAAATATCCGTAAATTGTTTTCCAAGTAGTTTTCACGCTAAAATCTATTTCATTGGCCTCTTTCATACATTAATAAGCATATCCGTTTTTCAGAACAATTAACCAACGTGTTTTTCACGAATATTCTTCGAAAATAATAACCCACGTGACTGATAAATCATTGAAAAAATAGGTTAATTAATTAATATTTTAGAGAAAGGGTGGGCTAGCGTTATTCAAATAATTTCAAAGATTTTGGTTTCTTATAATAGTGGGAAATCACGTTTTTTTCATGTATCAACTCTACTTTTCATGTATCAATTCTAATCAATATTTTTCAAATCTAAAAGAACCGACATATTCGTTATGAAATAAGGGATGTTGCTAAAAAATGTTGCTAAAATAATAAATGGACTTTTTATGGTTTATAACTAATTTTCTGTTAAATTTTCGCCAATCTACTTTCGAGATTTGTGTTCAGCATGTTAAAGTACATAAAATAACTCTTGGATTGTAAATTTTTACCCCCATCGGCCAGCGCCTGAACAAGAAAATCTATTCTCACTTCTACACTACTCGTAAGATGTAAATTAATATGTAAAAAAAACTAGACATAATTTAACAACTTCTCAACTATACAAAAATCAAAAACATAATTTTCTTTCAATTTCAGTTGATTTTTACGTATTCAGGGCCCAGGAAATTTTTTTTTTATGGAATTCATGCCTTTTCCTATGCTAGTTTTCAAACTTTCAGGCGTTGCTCAGTTTTCTTTCTTGGCCACCAGAGCGGCGCATTGGTATCGTTGAATTTGTTGAATTGCCAATCGGAACTCAGAATTTATAACGGATTTTGATTTGTTCAGGTGTAAATGAATAACGCACAAATGGTTTTGTAATTATATTCGACGTTGAAAGAGATGCACAATCTGAAAAAATTATCAGTTTTCGAATTATCTCACATTTATTATATCCAAGTGACAATTTCAAAATTCGTTATGGTACACCTGTTGATGTCGTTCATGACATGTATACAGATTTTTAAAGAATCATTTCTTATGTTATTCTTGTTTGTCCATTGCTGAAAATATTTTGATCACAATTTATCAAATAAAGTATATATCATAAACAGTATTGACATAAGAGTTGGAAGTCAAGTGTTATGTTGACAATAACAAGTTTATGATTGTGTAACAGATCCTATCAATTGAATATATTTTTCAAGCTTCAAACGGAATTGATGTTAATAAAAGTGAGCTTTCAAATTAACTGAGTATTTTATAATTAAATAGAAAATGAACAGCATATAATACAATTTAAAAAGGTTTCTGAATTCTGTTAAAGAAGCTTTTTGTCTAGTAATTAATAATAGTCTGAAAAACTATAATTAGTTTAATCTCATAAAGAGCAAAGAAATGTATTGAAACTTTATTATATTATAACGTACGATAAATATGATAATTACTGCATAACATTTCTGAAAAAAATTAAAATGTCCATTTCTTATTGAACTACTATTCAAATTGATTCAATATTTGCCCAGTCTGAGACAACATTCATGTGAACATTTATCTGAAAAAAATAAAGTTAACAACCTAACCCCTTTCTTTACACAGATTATTCTACATGGAATGAATTAGTAAGATTTTACTGTTAGTACTGTTTTTTATGGCAATTGGTATAATATAGAACCATGTAAGATAGAAACTGAAATGCGTATTGTTGTATACTTAGAAAAAATATTATAGACTCATGGAAATAGTAACTAGTCTCATATTAGTTTCTGAATTAATTTTAAATCTAGAACTCGGGTTCAAGATTTGCAATTTATCGATATTTCTTGTCACCATTCTTTATGAAAATTTGACTTGAGGTTTATAATTTAATGGCAATATTTATTATGTACCAGTTCCTAACAAAGGTACTCATGAAGCTATTTGTGTCTTTATTTTACTTCTTGCCTTGAGCTTGCCTAAGCTACTTTTGATTAAAACATACTATAGTTTATTCCACATGTTGAATAAAATTTACAATTGTACTATTTGCATCTCACTCGCTTAGTTTCTAAACATTGGATTCTATACACTGAATACTCATTGAACTGTAATTTCACTTTAACAACCCATTGGACGGAATTTCTTACAATTGTTTTAGTTCACAAAAATTATTTTCTATGACATGCTGCACAGAACTTTTTAAAATTTTTTATCATACCATTTTTTCAACTTTTTTCCAATTCTTTGTTGTATTATTAATTTTATAACCATTTTCATCGTCAATCAAATATCACAGTTTACAATATACTGTTTGGAAAGCTTTAATAGTTTTACTTTTATGAAAACATGATTTGTTAGTTAGTTTTCAATGTCAACATGTAGTTCGAAATATATTTTAGATATTCTATGATAAATAAAGCAAATATGATTACTTTTCTCGCTATTAGAATGCTCACTCGCACGTAGTAAAAACAGTTTATTTCGCTTCATTGTCATGTGATCACATTCTTGATCTTGAATAAAACTTTTGATGATATTCTTGAGATTTTTCAGCTGTGATTTATCTATAACATCATATCATTTAAAAGATTCTCTATAAAAATTCTTGGGTAATCATGTTTCTAACAGTAGGACAATTCTTATTTCTTTTAGTCAAATCAATATGTACATTATCACAAGGTTTGTTTGAAGCAAAAATTATATTTTGTTTCTCTCAAATAATCACTCCGACAACTGAATATTTCTTCAACTTCATATTTTTCATTTTTTATCAAAATGTTAACACCGGCCAGTATTCTTATTTATTCAGAGCCATTATATTTTTCAGTTAGCTGCATTTGAAAAGTTTATTTATTTCAAACTAATCACTTTACAATTCAGTTTATTGAACACTAGTATTGAACTGCAAAATTTAAAACATTTCTCGGACATTTTGTTGTATTGAATGAGAAATTTTACGGTCTTTGAAATAAGATGTGTAAAGAATTAGAGATATATTTTACGAATGCTTGTTAAAAATTATTATTTACAAAAACAGTGAAAAAATCTAATCATTCGAAAAAATTATGCTTTTTTATGCAGTATTTCATTGCTCTTTAGAGATTGTTTGCTTTTTTCTTCAGTTGTATCAGAACCTTTTTTATTCATACACTAATTTTCTTAAATGAAAGATTCCTTTTTTGATTTCGAAAATTTATTTACAGATTATCATGTCAGAGCAAAAGAAAAAACAAACAAAGTGTCCAGGTTGCAGCATTCCCCTGAAGAAACTTTCAGGATACAAAAAATCGTTAGATACTGATGAAGAAATATTCCAATTTCATGCAATATTCGATGAGACAGTAGATCTCAATACTATAATATGTTCAAAATGTTTCTCGAAGATGAGGAAATTCGTGCATCAGAATAAAGAGAATCAAGTCAAAACTGCAGTTCTGGAAAACGCGGGAGAATTATTTTCAGAAACACCTCCTACTGAAACCCAGTCATCTCTATCATCTACAAATAGTCCAGGAGTTTTTTATCCAGAAGCAAAACCGATGGAAGAAGTCGAATTAGTTGAAATTTCAATTACAAGAACACTCAGCACTCATGCTTACTGCTGTTTATGCAAATCAATTAAAAACCTTGTGTTAGTTCCAGATCAGGCTCGGATGCAAGTTTATGCAAAAAAGAGAATATATATTCCTAACGGTAATAGATGTTGCATTAAACACCTGATAAACAAGAGGTTTTATGACGAAGAATTGAAGAGCATTGAGGTTTTCTCATCGACAAGTATGATTCCAGTTCCGGAATTATCAAAACTACTTGAACAATTATCTATTCGAGTAGATTCTGAAATTCATGACAGAATTGGAGATTTTTCTTTTCCGGAGGAGCGCTTGAACGTGCTGACTGCTGGGTTGAGTTGGGAAAATATTATAGAATTACGCGATATGATGATATCCTTGAGAGATTCGGAATCTCGAAATGTGACACAAGCATTGATTGTTTTTCTGTTTAAATTAGTAAGTGGAAATTCAAATAAAGTCATTTGCGCTGTTCTGGGTGTTCAACGCGAGCAGCAGGTTTCGGCTTTCTGTCAATCTATTTTAACAGCTTTTGAAAAAGATGTACTTCCAACACGTTTTGGTATTGGTACACTAAGTAGGGAAGAATTAATAAGTCATAATACTCCAGTCGCCAAAGCATTACATAATATTCGGGAAGATCAGCTGGCTTTGATTGGGGATGGAACTTATCTCCGACACGAAAAGAGCGCAAATAATGAGTATCAAAGGAAATCTTTTTCTGGTCAGAAAAAAGTACCTTTATGCAAACCGTTTACGATCTGTGCTTTGGATGGATACATTATAGACTCAGCAGGCCCTTTTGAGGCTAATCTGAATGATGCACAACTTTTAGATCACCTATTGAAAAAGCCAGATGGTCTGAGAAAATTGATGATCAGTGGAGATATCTGGGTTCTAGACAGAGGTTTTCGTGATGTAAAAGACAATCTTGAAAGTATGGGATACAAAATATTAATGCCAGCTCTCAAAGGAAAACAAAAACAGTTAACAAGACAAGAATCTAACGACTCTCGTTTTGTTACTGCGGTCCGGTGGCCAGTTGAAGTTGTACATGGTGTGATCGGTAATAAGTACAAGTTACTTCGTCATAAGTTTTACAATACAATGTTGCCAAAAGCTGGCTTGTATTGTAAGATAGCGTGCTTTTTACAAAACAAGTTCGGAAAGCGATTCGTAGCAGACCCTTCCATGACGGATGAAATTGTTTCACGTATGCTTCAACGAAAAGATGTGGAGAATACTTTAGCTTCAGAAGCTGAAAATGGTCACTGGAGTAGAAGAAAATTACCTTTTCGACCAATGACATCCAGTGACGTTCTAGATTTTCCAGAATTAACTGAAAGGGATTTGAAGATATTGTTTTCAGGAACATACCAATTGCAGCAGAGCGTATCTTATCTGGCCGAAATGATGAACGAAGATGGCGAGCTTGAACTTTACTATTTAAAAGCAACAAATGAAATTCTAAAAGTGCGTGTGAAGTCGAGACACGTTAATAGAAATACGTATAATTGTTTCGTTCATTACCGCCCACAAACAAACGACTGTGCAGGTATCGTTAGATACTGTTGCGAGTGCGCTAACGGCAATCGCACGATCGGTTGCTGTGCTCACGTTGCTGCTGTGATATATTACCTCTCGCATGGAAGATATCTTGCGAAAATAATACAACCGGCTAAAATTTTAAGTTCCCTTTTTGCAGTTCAACAAGTACCGCCCGTCATTAACGAAGACAGTGATGAAGATTAGGACAAAATCAAAGTTTTTTTCAATTCAATCTCTGTACATATGTATTGGAAAATATATTACTCTGAAATTCCTTGAATACACCAAACCGAAATCTTCGAATTTATTTGAATAACGCTAGCCCACCCTTTCTCTAAAATATTAATTAATTAACCTATTTTTTCAATGATTTATCAGTCACGTGGGTTATTATTTTCGAAGAATATTCGTGAAAAACACGTTGGTTAATTGTTCTGAAAAACGGATATGCTTATTAATGTATGAAAGAGGCCAATGAAATAGATTTTAGCGTGAAAACTACTTGGAAAACAATTTACGGATATTTAGGGGCCACGTACGTACGAAAAATCATCGAAAATGTGAACGTCCCTAAAATCCTATGTATATATTTTTTAATTCACATTCAATAAACTCAAAAATTTTTGATCTGTCATATTGGATCCGCCAATTTTTATTTGTAGAACTTTTAGAATCTAATATATTTGTTACCAATATACATTTGTTGTACTAACGATCCCAAAAATTCATAAAACTAGTTTTCAATTTTCGTATTGCCGAATATGACATTTTACGTCAACCACATTGGATCCGCCATATTAAATTTTTGAAATCTGATTTCAAATTCGCAATTAGCGACCCCCAAAACTTATGTAATACATATTTTCGTTCAAATTTCGTGAAATTTATAATTTTTAGTTCTCCATATTGGATCCGCCATTTTAAATGTGCGAAATGAATCTAACTTCATTTTCTTAATCAGCGACCCTAAAAATCTTAATATAGATTATTTTCAGCATGTGTTCATAATCTAGTTTACTCGGTAACGAATTAGATTTATTAAAGTACCCTTTTTGTATATATTTATGTATAACAGTAATAATTATGCATAAATTTGTACAAATTTCCAAGCACTTAAAAATTTTGGAAGTTTAGTACCAAAAACTGTAAAATTCATCATATGTCAAATGTAAAAAATCATTATACCGATTATTTCAAAGAATAAACGAAGAAAAAATAAAATATGTAGCCACTATAGTCGCTTATGTGACTGAAAGGGTTGAAGTATGCATGTACTAAATAGATTGAGATTTATTTATATAATCATTAATTTATGTATTTTTTATTCTCATATTTGTGAAATCTTGAGAAGTTTGCTGATAAGTTTATTTAGGTGATTTTGAAATCTGATATTACATTTTGTTTAATACTTTATAATTTCTTTTTTAACTGTAGGAATTTGTAGAACATTTCGTATAATTTCATTTGGGACAAACCATGGGGCCTGTATAATATTACGTAATACTTATGACCGAAATTTATCCAAAATATTAAATATTTGAGATTGAAATGGTATCCTATAGTTTAATGCCATAAGTCCAGTCAGGTTTGATTGATAAATTCAACTTTCCACCAATGAGCCCGTACATTTTTCTCCATTTCAGTTTCAACTGTTTGCGTTTTGTAAATATATGTCCTTTCCATGTATGCCTTTGGACTAAATAAATACTAAAATATTTTACGTAGTTGCTCTGCAGAATCTATTTATTATTAAATATAATAAGCGAACCGGAGTCTTTTCGAAGTGTGTACGTCGCATATATTATTTATTTCAGTTATAATAATTATTTATACGTTGAACCAAGTTTGTAGATAATTATTAGATACAAGAGCTATTATAGCCTTTGGGTATGATCTTAAAATAGCTGTATCATCTACATATGTTTATGTCATGATATTAAGAGACTTTGGTAAGTCAGAAGTGAATAACAAAAACAGTGTTTTAGGTCTTGAACACTATCCTACGGTAGTCCTGTTTTTCTTAACTGATGTTTTGATACATTTTTATTTATTTTAACTTGAAAAGCGCTATTTTATCTATTCAGTATTATTGCGTTGGATATAATCAGGATTAATTTTTCACAAATTTTAGAAAGTACTGGTCAAAAATTGATCCGTATGTATGAAGTTTCTAACTCAAATATTTTACCACGTTTGTTATTAAAATAACCTCTGCTACTTTTTAGTGAGTAGAAAAATAGCACAGGTGGAAGTATACTACTGTGGGCAAAAAGTAAGGTGAATTTTCAATTTAAACTTCGCGGGCTTAACATTTCGGGCTAGTTCTTTTTTTCTTGAGTTGGTAGGACTGCGAATGACATCTGGGACAAATTTCATGTCAATGTCATCATCAGTAATATATTTACGCTTGTGTTTACCAAACGACCAAGAGTGCATGTATCGATTTTTACAATGTCTGATTTAATTGAGCAAAAAAGTGCCATCAAATTTTGTTTGCGGAATGAAATTTCGGCTGCGGAAACGTTGAGGATGTTGCGGAAGGCCTTTGGTGATTCTACCATGTCGCAGAAAAATGTTTATAAGTGGTACAAAGACTTCAAAGAGGGTCGAGAACGTGTTGATGACTTGGAGCGCTCCGGACGACCATCGACGTCAACAGATGACCAACACGTCAATAAAGTGAAGGAATTAGTGCTCGAAAATCGTCGGTTGACTGTTAGAGACCTTACTGATATGATCGGAATATCAGAAGGATCTGTGAAAACAATTTTGAAAGACCATTTGGGCCTACGAAAAGTCAAATCTCGTTTGGTACCGAAAACGCTCAATTTCTTGCAAAAAAGTCGCCGCGTTGATGTGTGTGAAACAATGCTTTCTGACTATCAGGACAAGCTCAAATGCATGATTACGGGAGATGAGACTTGGATTTATGCTTACGACCCTGAAACAACCGACCAATCAAGCGAATATCGTGCTAAAGGCGAGGCCAGAGCGAAAAGAGCACGTCAAAGTCGTTCAAAAATCAAGGTCATGATGACAGTTTTCTTCGATTTTCGTGGTGTGGTGCACTATGAATTCCTTCTACCCGGCCAAACTGTTAATAAGGAATATTATTTGAGCGTTATGCGTCGTTTGCGTGAAGCAATTCGTCTAAAAAGACCAGAATTATGGGCCAACAACTCTTGGTTTTTGCATCACGATAATGCACCATCTCACACTGCACTCGTTCTTCGTGACCATTTCGCCAAAAATTCGACGCATATCGTTCCACAACCACCGTATTCGCCTGATTTGGCTCCGTGTGACTTCTGGCTATTCCCAAAACTCAAGAGACCACTCCGGGGAACGCGTTTCGAGTCGATTGAGGAGATAAGAGCTGAATCGAAGAAGGTGCTGATGGCTATACCGGAAAGGGACTATTTGGCATGTTTCGAGGATTGGAAAAAACGTTGGCATAAGTGTATTTTATTGGGAGGGGATTACTTCGAAGGGGATGACATTGATGTAGAAGAATAAATAAAGATTTTTCATTTTACAAACAAATTCACCTTACTTTTTGCCCATAGTAGTACGTTGAAAATAATTATTATGTATTTTATTGCTAATGTAGGTAACTTTTTGATCATTATTCATGTAATATTATCAAATTTGAAGACTCTTTTGTAATTAATATTATAAATTATTTGTAATACTTCCTTTACTTTAATCGATTTGATTAATATGCTGTCTTAAAAATCGAAGTTTTCTAATAAGGTTTATTTTTTTTGTTCAGTGATTATTCCTTCGTGAGGTTTGAATACTCTACATAGATGATTGGAAAACATTGTAGCTTTCTATCGTATCATTTGGCCTATTTACCGCAAGGTATTATTATAGGTTTGTAACAAAGAGGCGCGTTATCGCCGCGCTCTACCTTGTCTTCTTTCAGGTTGGTTGACGTGGCGAATTAAGTGGCTGAGCGAAATTGCATTGGTGGCACCTCTTTTTCTCTAGTTAGCACGCGTCCAAATCACATACCTTGCAGCAAAAGGGCAACCTCTCTCATATTCTACGGGTAGCTTTTACAGCGAGAGCTCGACGTACAAAAATCTATCAGCTCGCGGTCCTTCACTCTCTCGCAAAAGCCTACAGAGACGCTCTTACAAAAGCGCATGAGAAGGAACTGCTCAACTAATTGCCAGTCGCAGCCTTCTTGCGGTCCTCGGTTCGTACTGTTTTTTATTCCCATTTGACCTACAATATTTTAGTCTCTCTCTCTCTCTCTCTCTCTCTCTCTCTCTCTCGTACGTATCACACCTACTTTTTTCGCTCTGCTGATTATCTGCTTTACTCACCTCATTTTCCTCCTTGGAGTGAAAACTAAACTTTGCAGGGTAATCGTCATCTGCGGCTCTCATGCGTGGGCGATAAATCGCAATTTTTATTGCCTTTTTCGAGCCGCAGATGCGATTTAATACCTGGCTACACAACAACATAACCTAAAAACGCTACACCGTCTTACACACCAACGCAAGCAACGCCTCACACACCTACGCCTCAGCACACCTGCGCTTCTACACGCCACGACTTCTGCTCTACCTACTACATCGGCTGCACCTTGATGCTGCCACATCACCACAACGCATTCTACTAGGCTCCTAGCCATCGTAGACGTCGTCACCTGCACCTTGCCTACATGTTGGTGAGAGAGAGAGAGAGAGTGAAATTTCAAATCATAACCAGTACATGTGTATCAGGACTCCCTATGTGTCGCCTTCATTAATTCGCTCGACCATACTCAGAACATCGTGCATATTTAATAAAAAAACACCCTATTCTGCACATAATATTATTGCTGAGTCATGCACATATAAGGTTATGTTCGCGTTCTGTTTACCTGTCTGTCCGTCTATTCAGTCGGAAAATGCTACTCCCGCCTGAGGCCGCTAGGCACAAAAATCCACGCGCGACTTTCAAAACTTGAAATCCGACTGTAGCGTCTCCGCTCTTCCTTGACTTCGTCAAGCTCTCTACAGTCGAAAATTTCCTGTCGTTCGCTTATGCGCAGTTCTCTATGTCCGCCGCGTGTGCTAGGTGTCATCACCTGCTTCGTCGTGCCGATAACACGCTACTCTGCACCGATTGTAACGCGCTTTATCACGTTGATTGCGTCTCGCCGTCTCTTCGCCCAAAAAAGTCCGAGTCATTCATCTGTCGCCGACACG